GGAGATGCAGGGCCCAGTTGCAAGAATGAAACATTATAATGAAAACTGCTTATTGGGAGAACATGATGTGGATGAAGATGTGGATATGTCTGAAGAACAATGTGGATCAACTGGTTAGTAAATTAAATAATTCACTTCGCAATTCATCGTTCTTCAAGACTCTTTCTGTGCCTTTAAGTATAAGTGTGATTTAACAGGTAAATTCCCAAGCTGTTTGCCATGTTGCAAAAAATGGTTTAGCTTAGCTAATCCTCATGGCTTGTTTAATTATTTAACTAGGTTTAGAATCTATCACCCAAGTTTACGGGTACAGAAAGCTGCAGTTAGAGAAATCTAGAGTTGCCAGTTGCCGCTGGGTGTCATTTTCTTATTTTATGACATAACACATGCCCCTTATTTTGGAACATCATGGCCCCAGACCATAATGGTGATGCTGTAAGTCTATTCCCTATTTTACTTCAGCATAACTCAGCTTTTCCAAGGGAACCCCATCCTATACTTGTTTTCTCAAAAAACAGAAGTGCCAGTGAGTTCAATGGGGCTTACTCCAAAATTAGGTGCACTCTAAGTGCAGTCAGTCTTAGCTTTTTTGGTAATTTGGAATCGGATCTGTATCCTTGCTGAAAGAAATGTAAATGATTAACTGAATAATAGAGTGAGAAGAACTGAGAAGAATGACTATTCAAAAATCATTTTTGTTTCAGGATCCCATTTAACCATAAGAGACTTTGACTGTCTATCCGCAACAACTTCAGAGTCATCCGTTGGTATTTTTAGCAGCAGTGCTGCACCTAAACGCATTTCAGACAACAAAATATCATCAGTAGCAAGCAAAAGCTTTCAATCATCGAGTAAAACCACCACCATGGATGGGTTTGTAGCAAGGACCAGCAAATACCAACAAGACACCATAGATGAAAAGATTGCTCGGTTCATTTATGCCACAAATTCTCCTTTTCGCATTGTTAACAATAAACACTTCATTGACATGGTCGAGTCCTTACGACCAGGCTACACTCCACCTGGTAGAGCAGACATTGGTGGAAGGTCGCTAGATACAGTGTATGAGAAGGAACTTGAACAGTGTGCAAGAAATACTGAGGGGAAATTCGCCAGTTTAAGCCTTTATTGGTGGAGCAATGTACACAATGATCCAGTAATATGTGCCTGTGTGACAACAGAAGATGGGGTTGCACATCTTTCAGAAACAATAGATACATCAGGAAATGTCCACACAGCAGAATATTTAAAACAAGTGGCAGTGAAAGCTGTAATAAACTGTGAACAAAAATTCAACTGTCACATGCACAGTTTTGTCACAGACAATGCTGCAAACGTGGCAAAGATGAGAAGATACTTAAAAGAAGAAAGGGAAGGATGCTCCTTAATAACATATGGCTGCAGTGCCCATTTAATGCATCTTTTAGCCAAAGACGTAAGTACTTCTCCAGGAATAAAAGAAAATGTTGAAAAATACTTCCATAACAACCATTTTGCTTCAGCTTCACTGAAGAGAGCAGAAGGATACAAACTAATTCTCCCTCAAGATGTTCGATGAAGTTCTGTGGTTGATTGTTTTGAACAATTTATTAACAACTGGCCTATTCTCATGAAAAAATTGTGAAGAAAACTGTGATAAAAGAGATGGAAGCATCTCATCCAAAGCATCTAACATTGGATTAAAGAGGAATGTAGCTGATATGCTCAGTATACTGAAACCTATATTCATGGCCTTAAACAAACTTTAGAGAGATTGTTGCTGCATTGCTGATGCTGTCAAAGTTTGGAAGGCACTTCAAGAGACATTGAAGAAAGAAATACCAAACCAGAAAGTTAAACTGCAGGCAATAAAGAAGTGAATGGATCAAGCACTAAGTCCACCTCATTTTCTTGCAAACAGTCTCAACCCCAGATTTAAAGGTAGATGCCTAACTTTTGAAGATAATGCTGCCATGGCATGGGCATTTCAAAATCACTCCTCAGATATGCCAGTCATAATACATTTCAGGGATGGAGGGGACCATTTAAACAGTACATGTTTACTGATGATGTTTTGAACAAAGTCACTCCCCTAAATTAGTGGAAATCATTAGCCAGGCACCTTGAAACAGAGTTCCTTCAGTTGCTAAGCCAGCTTTTCACAGCAGTAGCTTCCTCTGCAGGCACAGAGAGAATATTTTTATCGCTTGGTATTATTCACTCAAAGCTAAGAAATTGCCTGGGAGTTGAAAAGGCAGGAAAACTTGTAATTCTGTTTCAGTCTATGAATAAAGTGACAGTGGGAGTGGGGAAGATGAGATCTAGTTGTAGAAGTTTTAAGGACAGCGTACGTTTAGTGTTGTAATGACTTGTCTGTTAGAGTTAATAAATTTGAAAATTAAAAAAAAAGTTTAAGGACAGATGTTGTATATTAACATGTTTTAGTGATCAGATTTGTGCCATTGTTTAAGAAATATGTGAAGAAATATCAGTGGGAAACTTGATTTAAATCAGGGCTTTCTCTTTATGATTTAAATCAATTATTTAAATCTCCTGGATTTAAATCAATCCACCGTGGCTGTTACTTGATCAATTCAGTTGACATCAGTTAAGAAGATTTTCCCTTTGTCCCATTCATGTTAGAGCTGTATTTACCATGTATTCAAATTGAATGACAGTGGGCACATCTACACAAGATGCTATACTGCACAGTAGACCAAATTACTGTGCAGTAAGCATCATTGTCTACACATGCAGATGCTTACTGTACAGTAATTGGCTCTAACTGTGAGTTAACTTGCTACCTGTTAATACAAGTAGCAAATTAATTCCCAATTAGTTACTGTGCAGTAGCGCAAGTATGGACACTGACTGGGAGCAAATTTGCTCCTGGTCAGCCCCACTACCAGGGGGCCACCTGCAGCTTAGCTCCAGGGCTCCGAGCTTCTCCTGCCCCAGGGCTGGGGTGGCTCTTTGCCTGCCCCAGCACCTGGCCCTTAAAATCCTACAGGGATGCCGGGGCCCTGGGAAACCTGCAGCTGACCTCTGGCCACTGCGTGTCCTCACGGAGGCCCCAGACAGCCGTGGCAGGATGCCTGCACCCTGGTGCTGGTCCCTGGCACCCCATCACTGTGCAGCTGCCAGGCCTGGGCTGTCACACTGTGCTGGGTGCTGTAGGCACCTGCCAGGCCCAGCAGCACCCTGGGCCACCTGGAGCCAGCCTCTGGCCACTGGGTCCTGCTCCAGCTGGCCCCTATGCTGGCCCCACCTCTTGGTGCCACAACTGATTTCAGGAGGAGACTGTAGACCTCATGGCACTGTAGGGCGAGGCCAAGGCCTTCAGCAAGTATGTGTGAGGTGGGTGCTCCAATTCACACATCTATGAGGGCCTGTCAGGCCCTATACAGGAATGTGGGCATGACTGGTCAGTGTGCCAGTGCCACATAAAGGTCAAGGCCTTTAAGGCACAGTGGGTCACTATCACTGACCACAACCACCAGTTGGGGACTGCCTGCAAGTCCATGCCCATTATGCAGCAGCTGGATGACACCCTTGTGCCCCAGGATCATCTATTCCAGCACAGACAGCCTTCCTGAGCCTCCACTGTGGCCTGGCAACCATGGTGACACGTCACTGGGAAAGGGCCCCTTGGGCTGCCAAGAGGCTGTCCCACCATGCTCCTTGCCCCTAACTTCCTCCAGCAGTTCTGGGAGCCCGGGCCAGGACTTGCCCTGCCAGCTCTGCAGGCTCAGCCCCACCCAGGAGGCCAGGCTGGCCATGGCATCACCGGCCCTCAGCAGCTGCAACTGTTCCCCAGAGGGGTCCTCTGTCTGGGCAGCTGGATGCTGTGCTCCTGTGGCCCTGCAACCCAGGACACTGCTGGGAGTGTCGCCATTAGCAAAGGCCACGTCCTCCCCACTAGCAAGGGCCAACTCTGGCCTCTGGGCATGCCTGCCATACCCACCTGGTTAGCCCCACACTGGGGGGGAGGGCCCTCCCCGCCCCCACTCCCACCCCTGTCTTTCCCCTGGCCCTGCCCCTGCCCCTGCCCCTGCCTAGGGTTACTATATTTCCTGTATAAAAAAAAAGAGGACACCTGTGGGGGGGGGAGGGGAGGAGGCAGGGGAAAGGAGGGTAAGGCAGGGGGGAGGGGGAGGAGAGGGGGAAGAGGTATATGATTGTAGGGGGCCCATGCCATGTCTCTGTCCCTCACTCCTAAGGCACAGGCCCCCCAGCCCTGCTGCTTCCTTTCACTCCTGACTGACTATACCCCACCTTCTGGCCGTACTGTTGCCCCTCACTCCTGACCCACAGCCCCCTGCCCCCACAGCCCTGCCAGTGCCCCTCACTGCCAACCCACAGCCCCTGCCCCCTGCCAGCCCTGCTGGTGCCCTGCACTCCCAACCTGCAGCCCCTTGACTGGCCCAGCCCTGCTGCCCATGCAGCTCGCATGAACACTGTGTCTCTCTCTGTGT